AAAAAAAAATGTTTGTCTTCTCCACTGCAACATTCCCTTTCCCCCTTCCTCCACCATCTCAGCCACCATTATGCTACCGCTTCAAATGGGTTCACAGACAAAAAACTCCATGAGTACGGTGGCGAGGAGGAGGAGGAGGAGAAGAAGGCCCTCTAAAGAACCTTATTCCATCCGAAAATGGGGAGATAAAGCCCGACCAGTTGTTCTGCCAAAAGAGAACTAGTGAGTACTAAAAAATGTTTATATTTGAACATCCACAAACATGCTGCTCCAAAAGATGAACTTGGATCTTCTCCAAGCTGCCATTTAAATTTCCATAACCCATCCAATAATAAGAAGAAATCATACAACACGTCACAGGAAAAATAAATTAAAAATCACCTGTCAGGGAGCAATAATCTTTTATCCCATATGAATCAAAGAATTCCAAAACTCATATCAATTCTCTCGGTCTCTCTACGCACCTTGTTATGAGCAGATGATATATTGCATTCAAATCAAACCCTAATACAAGCACAAAAATGATGCTTCACTTTATTCGTTATAAAAGAAATTAGATTTTAGTATATAAAAAAAAATTGGTCTGCTACAACCCATCATCTTCAATCTCTTTCCACCCATCTTGTTCGGCACCCAATGCATCGCACTGCTAGCAGCTACACCACCTTCGATCAAAAAAATCCATCACTTTCACCTCGACAACCCCCATTATCGCCTCTTGCTCCCACCGATTCCGATCAGCCACTGCTTCTCCCATCGTCACAATACCCATCGTTGGCGAACTCCTTGTACAGTTCCTCATGTTTTGGTTTTGAAGCTCAATTAATTAATTGGTGGAGGAAGGGGGAAAGGGAATGATGGTATCGGTTGCAGTGGAGAAGACAAACATCACGTTTTTATTTTTTTGTTTAATTATTTTATTTCGAAAAATATAAATTCACAATTTTACCTTTCACTTAATTTGTTAAATTGAGTCAAACTAAATTTAAAGGTTGATTAACGGATAAGTGGATGGAATCAGTGTTTTGGACCTCCGCTGCAACTAAGTATAAAGGTTTGGGACTACGGTCGTAAAAATAAAAGGTTAGGGTGTATACTGCAGTAAAATGAAAGGTTTGGGACTGGAGCTGCAATTTTCCCTAAAATTTCGGGTTGTAACTAAAAAGAAGCTTCTAAGTAGACCAAATAATTTGGTCAACAAATTCATAAATCCTACGCTATATTCCAATTTCCAATGCATAGACTTGTCCGTCAATTTGCGGTGCCGATCATTAATTAATAAATGCCCTTCTCCTGTAATAATGTCCACAAATTCAAGATATTCTTCACCATTTTTTCCCCATTTCAATGGCATCAGATTCCAAGGATATAGCTTTCGATTACTCGCCATATTTTCGCCTGTACACTGATGCTCAAATTGACAGATTAATTCTTAATCAACTCGTTTCACCCTCTGATGATCCCAAATCAGTCGTCCGATCCAAAGATGTTGTAACTCTAACTGAATCCGGCGTTTCTGCGCGCATTTTCATACCGAATGTTAGAGATCCGCCACGGAAAATTCCCCTTCTGGTGTACATTCACGGCGGTGCGTTCGTTCTCGGATCGCCCGCAAATCCGCCCTTTCATAATTTTGTAAGCTCTCTTGTCGAAAAAGCAAACGTTATAGCAGTTTCAGTTGATTATAGACTGGCCCCTGAAAACCCTCTCCCAATCGCATTTGATGATTCATGGGAAGCATTTCAGTGGGTGATTTCACATGTCAATGGCAATGGACCCGATCCATGGATAAACGAATATGCCGATTTTGGGAGGGTTTTCTTGGCTGGAGAGAGTGCCGGAGCCAATATTGCGCACGATGTAGCAATCCGAGCTGGGGAAAATAAACTTCAAGGAGTTGAAATTGTTGGGCTTTTATTGGTTCATCCATTTTTCGGTGGCAAGGAAGAAGATAAACTATACAAAACTTTGTGTCCTGCCAGTAGTGGTTGTGATGATGATCCAAGGTTGAATCCGGCCGTGGATCCCCGGTTGCGGACAATGGCGGCGCATAGAGTTCTGTTCTGTTTAGCAGAGAAAGATTTCTTGAGAGAGAAAGGGAGGGCTTATTATGAGGAGTTGAAGAAGAGTGAGTGGGAAGGAGAAGTGGAGATTATGGAGACAGAGGGAGAAGGCCATGGGTTTCATCTGTTTAATCCAGATTCTGAGAAGGCTTTAGATTTGATGAATCAGTTGGCTGCATTCTTGATCATGAAAAATCAAGTCAATTAAATAAAAGTAGCTTATAAGCTGCTTTTTATTAAAGTACCTAATTTGTTGTAATATTGATGATTTACACAAGAATAAAATTGGTTTTAAGGTTTATGAATTGCTTGTTTCAGGGTAGAACTTACTTAGATGTTGTTTGGAAGAAATTTTTTTGATCATAAATTTCAACAACACATTCTATGTGATCCATAACTTTTTTATAATTTTTAACTATGCTTTTTTAGAAATTGAAATTTTCACTTGAAAAATTCTCTCACAAATAAGTGTTTCCCTATATAATAAAAGAGGGACTTCATGTTGGCACGGTTCATCCTTCCTTTTCCTTTTTTTTTTCTTTACTTAGCCTTATCTTTTTTTTTCAACCAATGTAAATCTGCCAGCTATTTTACTTTTGTTTTTATGCCTCTCTCCATTTCTCTTCGTAGTTGTATCCCACCATCTTGTCTCTTTCTCTTTTCTAACTATCTTCTCACCATATTTCTCTGCACAAAACATTTTAAAGAATCGATTTTTATTTTCTTGTTAATTTTCGTTCTTGCCTTGATTTCTCTCAGCGGCTTCTCTCTGTTCAATCTTTCATTTGTATTTAGTAAGATCTATGCTCCCTTTGTTCCACTATTTTCTTTATTTATATTTGTGCATTTTTCTGTAGATCTAACAAAAGTCAAACAAGAGGCATTATTGTCTGTACCTTTTGTGATCAACCCTATTTTCGTCTGTGTATTCTTCTTCTACGGGTAGAACCCTTCAAAAATGATTTTCACATAATCATCCTACTTCATTTCGCTCTTCTTCTCTATATTTTTTGATAGTCTTTTGCATTTATTGTTAGATGATAGACTTTGTTTTTGCATTTGCAACTTTTGTTCAGCTGTGTATAGGATCCAAAAAACTGTAACCGAAATGGGAGACTGGGCATATTAGGTATGTCGATTTTATATTTTTTTCATTTTAGTTTATATTTTTTCCAGTTTATGTTTGTTTATTTATTTTAAATAATTCTTTCAGGAACCGATTTCTTATTATTTGACCGAGGCCAATTTCTTATCAAGTACCAAGACATAGCTTTTGAACTTTTTCAGTGAAGAAGCACGAATAAAAATCCGTTCGGTATCTATACGCCGTCTTATGTTGTAATTTTTTCTTTTCATGTCTGATGATCCGATTTATCGCATCTTCCCGATCTGAATTCCCGAGGAGTTGGGGTCCCGTTTTGTACGAATCTCTACGTACCTCCTCGGGAAGATGTCCTCGGGTCGGGCACCTATTACATTGGTCCTTACGACAGGTCTACTCCTGCGCCAAAGCTCAAAGTCCTACTAGCATTATAATACCTCATCCTAAAAAGACTCTACCACCAGAATTCTATCCCAATCCAAACATATGAGCAATACTGAACCAACTACAACTCCCGGTTGCACTAGGACTCCTAAGCATCTCAGCATTATAGTCCTACTAGGAGTCCTCCACCCACCCCTATAAATACACTATTCTTGTTCATTACCAGGTACGCAAAATTTTACACACAAGTTACAGCATATATTACTTTCATAAATTCTCTCTCTAACTTAAGCTTCGGAGGGGCGACGAGGACACACCTCGACGCCTTTGTTTCAGGTACTAGAAGACCACGTTCGTGTCCATCCTCAGTAGTCAAGCTCGGAAATCGACAGGTGCGACTTTTGGTAGCATCA